TGTGTGTGTGTGTGTATGTGTGTGTGTGTGTGTGTGTGTATGTGTGTGTGTGTGTGTTTGTTTGTTTTGGTTTTGTTTTTTTGGGTGGAGGTTTTTCCGGGGCTTTTTCCCAGTCCCCCATCTGTTCTGGTTCTCTAAAAGGGTTTCGAGAAGTAATAAAAAAGAAATTACATGACAAAACACAAATTTAAGTTGCTCTTCCAGGACCCAAGCCAGTCGGGGTGAAGTAGGAAGTAGGCGCTGACGATGGATTGGACAGGCCCACGGAAATCCAGACAGTTACATTGCCTTGCCTAGGGTATGAGATCAAGGGGAAGGCCACCTTGTACCTGGAGAAGAGTCACAGGGAATGACGTAGGCCCTACAGAAAAATAGGGAAGGGATGGAATAACATCAAGTAGATGGCCCTGAATATAGAGAGGCGGAAAATGTTTGCTGGTTTATCTATACCTTGATGAAGGGGGAGATAGGCAGTAATGATGAGGATAACGGAACTGAACCCACGTAGTCTGTGTACTAGGGGAACAACCCTACCACTACACCAGACGCTGGGCAGCGAATAAAAGGACAATAAGACCAGGTGCCAATTGGCTGGATTGTGTCTGGTGGAATCGCTTCTGGTCGGGTCATTTCGATTAAAGGCCGCTTCAGTGCACACTTCCAACAGACGATGCCTTTTTGTTTCATATTTGATCAGACGCATGGTGTTATTGGGCAGAAAATTTTCTAGATACAACTTATCCTCAGACAAACAGACAGACTCGACCAATCAAAATAATTATGTCAAAATGGCGAACCGCAGCCCAAACCTTTAGTTTTAGTTTTAGTGATGAGAGTTTTACGGCACTTGCAACACAATAAGGTCATATAAGTGCCGAAGATTAGAAGTGTTACAAGAGAGTAACAAACACAAAAAAGAAGGAGGGGAGACACAGACGATAGATGGTTTATAGGAAAGAAGGAGCAAACCACACCAGAGCACCCGCCAACCACCCACAAGCCAAAACCTGTATAAATCAGAAACATTGCTGTAGACCTACAAATAAACCAGACTGTAGTCAGACCACTCCGTGGTAGGCCCTTTACTGTAACTAAATCCGAAACATCGAAGTAGACCTTCAAGTAAATGGGCAGCAAAACGTATCTTCACTCGGAAATCGAACTCCTGTGTGTAACAGCAAAGCGCCCGACCGCAACGCTACATACGCCGGTACGATTTCCGCGAAACGTTTTGGACTTAACTATCACCACCCTACTCCCTCCTTTCTTCTTCTACCTTGTCCTCATTCTCATCCC